TGGATAAATAACAATATCAGTCATAAAATCAGTCACCAACGATTTATGAACAGCATAAGTTTGTCATAACATCTCAGAATAGTCAGATCCGTTAAACAGTTACCGGGTGTTATGATACATCTGTTTTGGCATAGTCACAATTAAACGGATTAATAATATTGAATATAATGTTTATAATGCCTTACATGTTGCGATGGGTTTTTTATTGCTTACTTCGCTATTGGGGCACAATAGACTTAGAGGTTTTACATGGTATCTTATCCAGTCTTATATTCTTATTACGTGAACAGAGAATTAATTACTCACCCTGGAGCAACGAAATTCAAATCAATGCTGATTTTAATATCAAATATAAAATGGGACACGACCTGTGTGGCCAGCTTCACATTTTTGAAACATTGTAAACTCATATCTTTGATTTCTTAAAACGAGACATTAAACTAATACACGATAAAAAAACAAACAAATAACTTGCATTAACTTCTTGACTAAATATTTTCTGTTATTCAGAAATGAGAAAATACCCACAAAAAGGCCAGGAAATTATTTATATTTTATACAATTTCTAGATCCTTTCCCAATTGGAAACTCTTCATGAAAGTAAATTTATAGACCTGTATGCACTATCATTCTTAAGAATAATGTACTGAGTGCTCACATACTAATAAGTTATGCCAGTATGAACGTTTATAAGTGTTTTTTAGAATGTATTTTCAGAAAATTTCAGATGGAATGAATGTATTTGCACATTCTTTTCAAAAAATTCATAGCGAAACAATCGTAAATAATCGCTATGTAGGTCAGGCATACTTCGATTATTACTATAAGTAATATAAGTAGTAGTAGTAGTAGTAGTAGTAGTAGTAGTAGTAGTAGTAGCAGCAGCAGTAGCAGTAGCAGTAGCAGTAGCAGTAGCAGTAGCAGCAGCAGCAGTAGCAGCAGCAGTAGTAGCTAGAAGTAGAAGTAGTAACAGTAGTAGCAACAGCAGCAGTAGCACAATATGGTATATGGTATACGTGTATATGTTTTTTAATGAAAAAAAAATGTATTCATTGCTGACGCTTAACATGCCTCATTAATGTGTGAATTAGTTGTAGATAATTCCGTATAAAAGTATTAATCTAAAAACTATCTAAATTATAGCTCTCTTTACACTTTAGTACCTACATTTTCAGTTTGACATAAAATTGCTTCAGTTTAAAAGCAGAATGCAAAGATGGCTTTTAAGCTCACCTGAACTAGCTCAGAGTGAGCCTTTAGGATCGTTAAATGTCCGTCGGACGTCGTTCGTCCACATTTGTTCGTTAACACTGTAGTTGTCACATTTTTGCCTCAATCAGTCACATTTGTGACTCAAACTTTGTCAGGATGCTTGTCTAGGTAATTGCTCGGATGAGTTCGGACATGGGTCATTTCCGGTTAGAAACTAGGTCACAGGAGCTAAAAATAGAAAAACATTGTTAACACTCTAGACGTGGCTGCAGTTCTGATCCAAATATCCTGGAAATTGGTCAGGAAGGTTGTTTTGATGATTTCCAGGTCAGGTTTAAATATGGGACATCCCCGATCAAAAAATAGGTCACAGAAGCTAAAAATATAAAAATCAAATATTCTTGAAAATGGTCAGGAAGGTTGTTTTGATAGATGGTTTCTTAGTAAGATTCAAATATAGGTTGTCTCGGGTCAAAAGCAAGGTTACAGGAGCTAACAATAGAAAATTATTGTTAACGCTTTAGTGGCGGTAGTTTTGATCCAAATGTCCTGGAAAATGATCAGTGACATTGTTTTTAAATGATTTCTAGTTCAAGTTCGAAAATTGGTCGTCTGAGGTCATAAAATATGTCACAGGAGCAAAACAAAGAAAAAAAATATTAACACTCTAGTGGCTGCAGTTTTAATCCAAATATTCTGACCATTTGTTAGGAATGTTATTTTGATGATTTCTAGGTCAAGTTCGAATATGAGTTGCCTCGGGTCAAAAACTAGTTCACAGGAGCTAAAAATCGAAAAATCTTGTTAACATTCTAGTGGCTACTGTTTTGATCTAAATATCCTGGAAATTGGTCAGGAAGTTTGTTTTGATGTTTCTTGGTCAAGCTTTAATTTTGGTTGCCTTGGATAAAAAACTATGTCACACCCCAGCTGTAGAAAACCTTGTTAACACTCAAATGGTAACATTTTTGACTCAATTGTCATCAAACTTGGTCAGGATGCGTGTCTAGTTTATTGCTAGGGAGTTCAAACATGGATCATCTTTGATGAAAAACTAGGTCACAGAAGCTAAAAATAGAAAAAATATTGTTCACTCTCAAGTGGCTACTGTTGTTATCCAAATATCCTGGAAATTGGTCAGCAAGTTTGTTTTGATGATTCCTACGTCAAGTTCAAATATGGGTCACCTCAAAAACTAGGTCACTCTGCCCAAATATGGAAAAACCTTGTTAACACCCTAGATTCACAGTTTTGACTCAATATTCATCAAACTTTGTCAGGATGCTTGTCTTGGTAATTGCTCGGATGAGTTCGATGAGTCAGGTGAGCGATCTAGTGCCATCTTGGCCCTCTTTTTTAGTATCAAAATGTTGTAACAACTTTTACAGATGCGAAATAATGTGTTTCTGTGAGAAGGGCAGGCTAAATGGATGATCAGCACCGGCCAAAAAAGTTAGCAATATGTACATGTCTGACTATTTGGATAGTCGGGCCTCGGTGACAAAAATGATGGAATAACATTGTGATGTTTTTTTCAGTGTCTTAAAGGTTAGCAGTTTATTTCTATTTTAAAATTAATTTTTTAATAAATTGTATATAAAAATTCCCTGGTAAAGTAAGTGCAAGTTAACATTGGTTAGATATTTACCCTTTGCGAATGGTTGATTTTCAGAACAGAAATGCAAATACAATGTATATAAATCATAATTATTTATGTAAAATGCATTGAATTGATTTTATCATTAGTTGGTGGGGTAATTTTTTTTACAGGTCTGAATAATAATGCATCGATTATGCAGTGTTGCGACTTTTCGAATGTAATGAACTCTTGTTTTAGTGTTTTAGATTAAATAAAGCATGTTTGTGTATCAATGTGTTACTTTGTTAAAGACCATATTTGCGTAGAGTAACTAGAGTTTTTAATTTCACAGATTTTTCTTATTATCACATGATTTCAATAAATCAATTTTTAAGGACTTTTTTCTCGTAGTATTACATATATAGTAAATAACAAATATGAAAATATCTTTTCTGAAGGAATTTGTTTGAGGTTGGGTTTTATATTTGGCCAAACTGAATAGCTTATGTATTTGTTTTGTATTGTCTGGTGAATAAATAAGACAATAGCATATTCCTTAAGTATTATATCAATATTACAAGGTATGTCTTATCAGCAATGCAAGGAATAAACATTAATCATGATTAAGACGCATACCTCAACTTGCAAAATTTATTACCCTGATATTAAACAATAAAGTGTGGCCATTCATGTTGTTCCATCCATATTATCGTTTAAATAGGATCTTATACCACATTATTCTCTGCTAGGGTCTCTTTATCATTAAAACATAATATATAGATTTACGATTAAGGTAAATGGAATAGTATATATTATCTTAATTAATTGAGCTATTATATTTGTGAAGATAAAATATTGCAGTTTAAGTATTAATTTACAAGCAGACGCATTTTGCACAAAATGGTAATTTTAGCTGACGAAGCGTTTTTTTTACTGTCTGCAAAAAGGTTATTTAGTAAAGTAGTGCAATATCATTTTAAAGGTTCTTTGTCATATTATTCTGTTGTCACAAGGAAATGAGTATATCGAAATTAATTTCAAAAGTGTTAATGATAATCTGAGTCAATGTGATCATTTTACATAATTGTACTTAATTTAATATATAATAAATACATTTAACTGTCACTCGTATGCAATTTCGTCAATTATCATAAACATTTACTGGATTCGCAACATTCCGACCCTTTTTGTCAATATTGGACCTCGAACATGGTATTTCGGTATATCCTACATGTCCTTCGCTTAATACTAATCAAACAAATAAAAAAACATTTGTAACACATTATACAAAATATATACTCCTTAAATTTTGTTAACATCTGAAGCTATTTTCAATTCGTTTTAACTCCGAGATTATTATGAATAAACTTCGAGGTGTTCCGATTACCTTGGCTGGATAAAATAAAGATAAAACTATTATGGTATCCTACTTTATCATATGAATACAAAGATCAACAAGGAAAGCTACACTCAATTAACGAACCCCCACCCCAACCAACGGCATACAGTCACACATGTCGATCAGAAAGGCACCCTGTAGAGAAACGAACAGAATCAATGCATTTCAATTATTTTAATTTTCAAACTTGTAAGACTGTCAATCGTTACACTTATCTAAGATTCTTAGACCTCAATGTCTCTGGCTGGACAGTTTTTGAAAGATATCAAATGGAAACAAAATAATGAAAATGAAGATCTTAAAGTTTGCTTAACACGGTATAATTTAAAATATTGCAATCTCATTTGATAGCAATGGAAAATTTAAGGTACCGCCCATGCCTCCATATCAGCGGCATCCATATTGGCTGATCAAGGAACCTTCGATCAAACACGTTCATGTCACAACATAAAAAGTGTTGTATGGATCTAAGTTAGATATGTGTGTCGTAAACAAAAAAAGCTGCACGACTCATGTCATTCTATTTACCTCGGTATCGTGGTGTTTAAAAAATCTTTATTCTCATCTACAAGTATTCATATACATATCATACATAATTTTCAATGTACATAATAAAGCATTCTTAATCTATCTATGAAACGTAAACTTTAAAACAAGAACTGATCTAGTTGTATTTTTCTACATGTATACAATTTGAAATCCTGTCAAATCTTTTATTATTTGCAGCGGTTTAACCTTTTTATGAATAACAATGAAAAAATATTTTCAGGTGCTCAGCTATAACTTAAAAAAAAATGCTGCGCATGACAGATTTTGTAAAAAGGCTTTATAAGGCAATTCCTGTGGAACCGGCAACAGAAAGCTAGGAACGATCTTCTGACTTGTAAGGCCAAACAAAGGTAAATTTTTGAAATAACCTTCAATGTTTTACTATGATTATTTGGTAGAACGCATAAAATACCACAGGAATGTGCAATATGTATTCTTATTAAAATGCCTAAAATAAACAAATACATGTATTAAAAAAATACTACCATACAGGAATTATCCATATTCACTATTTACTTAAAAATAATTAATCTGTATATGATTATAATTCAAAAATTTATATTTAATCAGGAAAAACATGTCAAGGCAGGCAAAGCGGAAGCATGAGGACATTTCTTCTAATGATTACACAGTTTGTATTGAATCTGCGGACAAACTGGCTGGAGCATGTAGAGCCATAATTGGTTTTAAACTTCTTGGAAACGGCATAGAGGGAGACGAGGATGAATTGTGCGTAGCGGAATTTCCTGAGAATTTTATCAGAGGACATCAAAATAGTTTCAAGATAGACGAACCAAAGGTAAAGCATCATTTTAGTTACTTGCTTCCATTACATTTTTTTCTGTAAGTAAATTTAAAATGTGTGCATTTTTGTGACATGATGTTTGTTATTTGTAATATGTCGTCATTCACTTCCTTAAACAACCACTCGATATATTTGATTTTATTTCAAAGATAACTGACTGTTCCTAGCCTGATGCACAAGTGGATCCAATGAGTGAAATGCCAAGTGCTGATATTTCATTATGTAGCATCCCTATGTGGTTGCTAAAATGTTTTAAATATGCATAATGTTTTACATTTGCTTTGTCCTGGAATAAGTCAGTTACTAAGCACTTGTGTAGGAAACAAAGTTTCTAACTGTAATATTTGAAGCATTTCACACGATAATACAGATCAAAGACGTTGACAGTATAAAGATTCGTGGAGACGCTATGGTAGGAGAAAATGGTTGGAACGTAGATAGGATTATTGTAACCAACAACCGAACCGGGATAAGAAAGGTGTTTCCAATGTTCACGTCTATTGTTAGAAACACTGAATATACATTTTATGCCAACGATGTGTCTTTGCCACAAACGCCATTCAGAAAAAGTAAGTGCGTTTTCACATCTTCAATATTCTAAGAAAAATATTACAAAAGGTGCATGATATGCAATGTGTAGTTTCAGTATAATTAAGTTATGATGATAGTACGAAAAAGAAACAAACATTTAAAAAAAAATCTCAACAAAGAAGATACACCGACAAAGAAAAACAATTCAACAGCTTGCAATAACGATCAACAACATCAAATATATTTATGGCAGTTAACTTTAATTTCTTAATTTGTTTAAAAAATTGTTCAAACAATCTTTTAAGGAATATATTTGAAAAACAGTGAAATTTTGATTGTCAAAATTGTCAAGATTGTCTTGTGAAATACTAGTAGATAAATAAAAGATAAACTAGTATTAAAATATATGTATCCAAAATATGCATCTTTATATCTTTTTCAGGGGAAATACAGGATGAACTTGATGAAATGAAAAAGAATTATAAACTTACAACCGATCGATTACCCGGAGGACCTCCACTAATAAAAACGATGCCTAGTCACGAAAAGTTCTCTTTTATCGATAAAGCTAGCTTGGGTGTTAAATTATTTGCTTTAACATTTGATGCCGACCTGCAACTTTCAAAACACGGCAAAGGCGCTTTTCATTCCATTGACGATATTAAACGTGTATACGGACCTTTATTTCCCGAGCCGCGAAATATTAACAGGTACGTTCAAAGTATTTGAATTTTATGCGATTGCATTCTCGTTTGTAGAGCATTTTGTGCTAATCATATCACATGACAAGGTTAATTGTTTTCATAGATACATTTATATGAAACATAAAACATACACAGAAAATAATACATCTTAGAATTATATTGATTACCTTGATTCTCGTTTTTCTGAATATTGAAGGAAGATGATATGTAGAAAAAAGTATCATGATAGTACTAAATCATTTAAACAAATAAAATATCGGTCAAAAGATTCATGTCATTATTTGACCTATCTTAGATATTGTACCATTTAGCTAGTCGTATATTTTATTCATATGAATTAGAAGGCATCAAAATGAAATTGACAGCATCATATGCATTATTTAGCCGATGAATTATTTATGATATCACAGGTGGCATGATGACGAGTGGTTTGGAATGCAACGTTTGATGAGTGTCAATCCTACCATGATACGTCTTTGCACTAAAATTCCAGACAAACTAGCAGTTAATAATCAGATGTTAAAACCGTTCCTTGAAGGAATGACCCTCCCACAAACTATACAGAAGAAACGGCTGTTCATAATTGACTACGAGATACTCGATGGTATACCAACTAACGAAGGGTTAATAATGACGGCCCCGATAGCATTGTTATACCAAAGTAATAATGGCACCCTTGTACCTATTGCCATTCAGCTGTTCCAGTCTCCGAGTGCCAATAATCCCGTATTCCTCCCGAGCGATTCAACAAATACGTGGACTCTAGCAAAAATGTGGTTCAACATAGCAGATGCCAATTATCACCAATCAGTGACGCACCTTGGTTTCACCCATTTGAAGATGGAAGGAGTCGTCATTTGTACACACCGACAAATTCATTATAGTCATCCTGTTTATAAGCTGCTGATGCCCCACTTTCTGTACCTCATTGCTATCAATTACGACGGGATTCCAAAACTACTGGGTGACAATGGTTTTGTGACAAAAGTCCTCAACTTAGGTAATGATGGTATGGTAGAGCTTATCAAGAGGAAGAACAAAGAATGGCGTATGGATGTCGATGGTACTCTTCCAAATGATTTAAGGAATCGGGGTGTAGATGATGAAGCACTCTTGCCCCATTATTACTATCGAAGCGATGCTTTGGAAATCTACAACGCCATCTTCTCATATGTACAAAAGTACTTAGGTCTGTTTTATCTTTCTGACGACGAAGTTAAGAAGGATTCGGAGATACAGAATTGGAGACAAGAGCTTGTAGCAGCCGTTAAAGATAATGGGCTTGGTATGGAAGGCGTCTTTGGAGAGGAGGGCAAGTTTACAACTAGAGAACAATTATGTCTTACACTAACATCTGTCATCTTTACTTGCAGCGTTCAACATGCAGCCGCCAATTTCCGCCAGTATGAAGATTATGCATATCCACCTTGTAATCCTCTGAAACTTCATGGAGGACCACCAAAGAATAAGCAAGATGTTGAAGAAGTAGACTTCATGCAAGCTCTTCCAACTAAAGCAGAACTGTACAGTACTTTGGTTATTACTTCTGCGTTAAGTACCAATGCTACGAACAGCCTTGGAGATTTTGAAGTGGAGTATATCACAGATGACAAAGCTCTTAAGGTTGTCGAGGAATTCAAGGCGGATCTTGCACGCATTGCCATCAATAATAAGGAAAAGAACAAAAATCGTCCCGACAAATACTGGTGTTTGAATCCAAAGCGAGTACCAAATTCAATAAGCATTTGATTGGCTTTGTTTTTGTTTGTTTTTATTGGCATCAGTGTGACTGTATATAGAAAAAAATTACAGAGAAAACAATGTGATTATATTTGTTAACAAGATATCATTCGAATAACAGATTTAACGGAGATCAAACAAAGCTTTCGTGAATGAAAATAACGTAATCAGCACAAAATGAAAGTAATTATTTTCTATTTATGTTCAGCAATAATAGAAAATATACCAAATTTAAGCATACCGTATATCAGATTATTTTGGCGTAGGCCAATTTTCGCGATTTAGGCTGTAATATAAATTTAGCGAATCTAATTTTAGCGATTTTATTGTACATGATTCTTTTTCTTCGCGTTCAATTTGCCTATTGATGTATTTCATACAAGTTTATATTTGGTATTTCACTTGCCTTGTGTTACCTTATTTTTAACACTTTGTTGTTAAGCTGCCTATGTTTGCAAGGTGTGAATAATAAATAACCATGAATATCGATAAATAATACCTGATGATTAAATGTGTAGGTATCACAATGTTAAATATATATACTACTACACTCAATAGCAAATCTAAGCAGAAAAGAAATTTCCAGATACTCACGAAATCTCCGTATTAAATTGAAAGAAATTTTACCAAATCTTTTTTTCCGCGATATTCATTTTACGCAAATAAAGCAAAAATTAGATATACGCGAAAAAAAACCTGATATACGGTATTTCTAAGTTTTATGACCATTTACGTGGCAAGTGAAGTTTTGTATAAATTAAGACGTTAATTTAAATATGATTTTAGAATATTGATTAATAGTGATTAAATTTTGATGATATTAATTAGAGATTAATGTTTTTAAATCTATCAATTTTATCAAAATACTTGTATTTAACGGTATATAACATTTCTATTACGGTTGTGCTACATGTAAAAATTTTTGACTTGCATTTTACATAGAAATTTTATTCACACTTTTGTCACATATTTGATGTGATATTCACGCAACAATTGTATTCTTCAACCAAATATTGAAGTTTTGCGTATTGTATCTTTATGTATTGTATCAAATGCTTCCTGCTTCTATATTCTTAAACTTTCATAGATAAAGTAAGAAACTTCTGTGTTTTATTTAAAGATATTATGAGCTTTCATTTATTTTTATAATTGGAGCTCTACAAGCACTGTGGATTAAGAAACACGATAAAATGTGTCTGCTCTTTCCCTTTAAAATGATCTTCTTTTATAAAAAGCAATGAAGTACAGTAGAATCCCTACTAAAGACCACCTCGGATTTAAGACCACCCCGCTTTTAAGACCAGTTTTTAAAAGAACGGAATTTTCTGTTCTTTATGTCAATGGTTAAATGATCCAGAATTAAGACCAACTCACTTATCCACATTTAAGACCACCAAATTCAGTCCCAATTCCTTATTTTGTTCTTTCTTTGACCTCACTATTGAGACCACTGATATTAAAATCAACACCTTCCTAGATCTTAAATGTGTTGTTATGTTGTTATTATCTGCTTGATTGTCTACTATTTAAACGAACGTACCTTTGGTTTAACTATTCTGAAACTCTTTTAATGTTTTGTCAGGAAATTAATGTACGCACAATTCATCCTCGTCTCCTTCTAGGTCGTTTCCAAGAAGTTTAAAACTAATTATGGCTCTACATGCTCGCAGATATAATACGAAATGTATAATCACTGGGCGAAATATGTTCATGACTGCGCTTTTCTTGCCTGGACATGATCTGGAAAAATACATATACATTGAAATGCCTTGCCCTAATTATCATGCTTTATTATAAATGATGCGCCCTGCACGATTTTTTCTTAAAGGATTTTTTCATGTTATAATTTTTATTCTGCTTAAGCCGGTAGACGTAGACGGAAGCTTGCACTTTTCAGTGCCACCCATGAATCGGCTCAATCAAACCAAACCTGCAAAGTTCTATTTCTCTTTATTATATGACATGATATCTTTTTTAATAAGAAAACTCATTTTAGAATGATATAATTTATGCGAGCTTAATAAATTACTAATATTTAATTTACGCGCTCAGTTTAGCACTAAACGCCAGTATTAAACCAAAATGTCACCTGTGGCAATATTCATTTTTTTTTCATAAGTAGTTATTCTGTTTTAGCATTTTGTATTGAAATCAAAACTCCCCTCTGCTACGTTTACATGCCTTTTCTATATCCATGAAACACAAGCATGCCTTTATTTCAGATGAACATTCATTATTGTGCTATTAATTATTTCATCATTAATTCTTTAAGGTTCATTTATTCTTGTTACATTTCATACTTTATCAGTAAAACTGATCGGGGGTTGCGTACATTGAACGCCGCCTTTTCCTTATTGATCTTCTTTACCATAGTTTTTAACTATTTGAAATAACGTTTTCGGGAGTCATCCCCTTCGTCCTCTGCCTACATCATAGGGTCACTCCCCTTGGCAATAGCCAGGATACCGGTAGCTGGTCCAGAGTTCAAATCTTTTGCCGATGTCCTGTGCATTCTCAGCAACAAGCACTCTCCGGGGGGAAGTGAGAAGGCTCCAACAAATTGACTCAAAATTTGTCTTAGTAAAACAAAAACAATATATATATTTAAGATACACTTTGTCAGTTAGTGGCATTGTGCCCACCCAGTGAGATATATTGAGTGAAAGTCAAAATAAGTTTATATTTTCCGATAATATCTTTTAATTTTATGATTTAATTGAAAGATAAATAGCTCACGTGACCCAAGTAATTTTCTGTTAATATCCATTGCAATTTACCTGTAACGTTCAATTTGTAACGTTCAAAAGTGGGGCAGTCTTTTTATACTTTTGGCAAATTTATTTTTTATCCGAAACATTTTCTGATATCTCTAAAACATCATTATAATATTCACTTATGAAATATATAATCAATATACGAGATATGATCAAAAAGTTTTCGTCCCTCTATACTTCTAGCTAGCCACTACACTGACATTTACACACTATACATCGATACCGATATCTTATTGAAGATTAAAGACCGATTTACCGATTTTCATTAAATTCATGAAAAGTAAGTGATATCAAAAAAGTAATGTTTTAGCAAGTTTGCCTTTAATATCTTGTCTTTAATATCTAAAACCGTTGTCACTGTAAGGTCACGTTCTTATGGTGTCCAAGAAAAATGTAGAACGCCGGTCGACGCCATGGCGTTAGGATAGCATAAAACCCCCACTAACAGTTTGCACGTAGCATGTTAAAACGCCTAGCGGTCTGATAAAGGATAAGTAAATCTGCCGTAAAGTCACAAAAGCAACGTATAAGGTTAACTACATCATCAGACTTTTCAGTGCAGTAACTCTCTTACAACGCCAGAGGAGCTTCCAGGACGCGCACATTCGTTTGTCAGTGGTGATTAATATTCTATGAGATGTCATTGTCTCTGTACCATGCAGTCAATCCATGTACAATCCATAGGAATACAATGGGGGCCCGTAGTAAAACCATAACAGTTGTAAGAATATAGTCATATCCAAATCTTTGGGAATATTTTTCTTGCAATTTCACGATGCTCTGGAATTTTAACAACGTTATGCTAAGGCAGTATAGTGTGACAAAAGCATATTGTATACCATACAAAGGCAGATAGCATGTAATTTATCTGTTATGCAGGTGTTGAAAAATCTTTTTGAGGTGAAAAACTACGATTTATCAGACGTTATTAGACGCCGCGCAAACGCGGCGTCTAGATTTTATGCATTCGTCTGTTGAGCAATGTGGAAAATTTTAGTCTTGCTTTTGTCTACTTTTTTTTGTTTAAACAAATTCCACTGTTTTCATATTCACCAAGCTTTAAGGAATTAAAATTAACGTTTAACTGAAGTGCCATTTTGAAGATCATATTCTTTTAATTTTTGATATATTTTCATTTAGCTGATAAATAACGTGTCCATGAGCCAGTCTATATTCTAATGACGGCAACCAAATTCAGGTGTGACTAAAACGGAGTTTATTTTGGCGAAACGGATATATTTTGTCGAAACGGACATATTTTTGTGCATATCAGGCATAACGTATGCTTATTCACGAAAATATTTAACATTTAAATTATAAAACAGATTAACTGAATAATAAGTAAGTTTGTTTTAAAATGTATCACAAATGTTTTCAATAGGTTGTTTTGAAGGATTCTGTGACGATTGTTCTCTTTTGCTTAGATTTTTTTATTACATTTTGTGGTTCCATACCTAAATTCCCCGCTAAGTTAATTTTTTAAAAAAATATCACAGGAAATTGAATATCTATCAAATAACCAATATTAATGATAATATCCAAAGAATACCCCCTAATAATCTTTCGGGTCATTTCGATCAACAATACATAAATGCATCTAATACCGCCGATAACTTTTTTCAAATCGCGTACCTATGTAGGAATAATTAAACATTTTCTGATAGGACTGTTTCTCGTGATCCGAGTTTTTCACCGACTCGAGTTCGTGACGTCACTGAGAAAACTGGAATTCCCGCACATTTGTCATCCTGCAGTGAAGACAACAAACCTGAGAATATTTTTTTCTGTACAACTATGGCCATTAATGGACATTTCTACGATGTGTGTACAACTGATGCTCATAAAGTACGTGGACTGCGTTGTAGAAGCAAAACGTTCAATGCGGGATGTTTTCTTTTCATGAGATTAATACACGTTTGAAGTTTCAACTGTTTCAACACTTGTCGACTTATTGCCCGCTAGAAAAATAAGATAGGGCAATAATCAAATAATATGAAGGACATCTTTATCTTTGTTGTGCACTACACTCCTTAACAATGCGATCGATCTTTCCACCTTTCAGGTTGATATCTAGAGTTATGTTCCAGAAGTAATTTCAGACGGCAGGACGGGTGTACGGTCATTTGTGATTAAGTGTTTTTACTTTGCTCTTATTTCATGAACCAGTTAATATTACAACTAAATTACGAAAGATAATAAGTACGTATTAAATGACATATTTCTCGAACCTATAAAATAATCTTTTAATCATATGAAAAAAAAATGCTTCAAAATATAGGTGAGTCTATTTTTTTTCTATACAGTGTAATTAAAAATTTCAGAATGATAACAAGTATATATATAATCTACGACAACTTTGTGAAAAGATAAGACTGCTTTATATCTGCAATAATACAAAATCATAAGTAACTACAACGCCTAGATTTAACAGACTTGCATACGGACAAACAGGCTCAATCAAAGTAATACAGTTTGAACTACCATATGTTGAATATCAATTCGCAAAACTAATAAACGAACAGAAAAGAAGTATTTCTCGAACAATTTACATTTTGTGAACAAAAATATTTTTTTCTTTGATGCCATGTTTAGAAAGAGATTTAATTTATTACAGTTTTACTCATTGTAAAAGAAGTTAGATCCTTTATCAGACGTATTTTTATGTTTTGAATTGTTAAGCATCTTATTTGATCGTCAGAAATTAATTCGGGAAACAACTCATTAAAAAAACAATCGTGATTAAAAATTGCAATACAAATCAATTTTATTAATCAGCTCTTGATACAGATAGTTACATGTCTATGTACATGAAACAATTATTTACACGTAAAAATAAAATACAAAAAAAAACAACTACAAAAGGCACTGCACACTGATTACAAGAAATACATTTAAAACGAGTCTCAAATGCTTATTTGCTTTAAAAAAATCATCAAACATTTCAACAGGGTCTTTCATATAGAATGGTCTAGAAACGCGCTGTAAAACCTTCTCGCTACAATTAAACATGTCTCGGTATAACTTGGTATAATTTACTGTCCGTAAATTATGTAATTGTTAAACAAAAGGGCGAATATTAAATACAAGAACAAAAATGAAAATTCTAGCAACATGATGTTCTTTAAAAATATATAGTGGATAAAGGATAAATAGTTCAGAAAATAATTTTTTAAAGCCATGATCTGTTGAAAAAGATAGATTGCTTGTTCAGAATATTTGCAGACAAACGACGTCATTTTGAAAATACACCAAATTAATGAAATATTATAACATATTTACATTATACGATAAAATAACATTTGTTCTCTCTAAAATCAATTTTTATTGTGTCATTGAATCATGCATGAATTTAAAAAAAAAAAAAAAGCTTATGAAACATGGGCGTTTTTTCAAATATGAGCAGAAGATTTTAATCTTTACACCGGTAACGAAAAATTCCGAATTTTATTTCAAATCTATAAAATTGAAACTTTTTAAAGTAAAAGTTGATCATATAATGAAGCCAGGATTATTTTTATTTAATTAAAAAAACCAAACATTATCTTATAATTTGTTTTCTTAACGATGATACACCATGTCAAATCCGGTGGGTAGATAATCTAATCTTGTGACTCAGCCGAGACAACTCTTTTTGTAAAATTGATCCGACTTCATACCCTTTTTCTTTGATCTTCATTCATGAACCAGTAAATATTACAACTATATTACGAAAGATAGTAAGTACGTACTAAATGACATATTTCTAGAACCTTTGAAATAGTCATTTAATCAGATAAAAAATTAATTCTTCAAATATAAGTGAATGTATTTTTTATTTCTATACAGTGTAATTAAATACCATTCTATTTGAAAAACCCTGATTTCAACAATAAAGTACTGGGTTATCTTAAAATACATGAACATAAATTTCATCAAAATATATATTTTATTTAGATCAAAATGTAAGGTTGGTGCATACATCTTTCGATATAATTATACCTAATACCAAACAAAAACTTGACAATTTCATGTCCTTTATATTGATAAGTAAGTGTGGAAATTATGAAGCCATTAGTATAGATAGAACTTAAGATATATCCAACTTGCCGGTTAAGGGTAACCATATCTATTTTCCAGGTGCTGAAAATGGCAATAACTTTGGGGAAAAGGTGGCAAAAGTTACGTTACTTGCCCAGATTATGTACTTTGTACTTATAAGTAAGTTTTTGTTTGTTTGTTTGTTTTAGGCTTTACGTCACATCGACACAGTATAGGTCATATCGCGACGTTCCAGCTTTACTGGTGGAGGAAAGCTCAGGTTCCCTTCCGTGCATTATTTCAGGCACGAATGGGCACCTGAGTAGAACCACCGACGTTCCGTAAGCTAGCTGGATAGCTTCCTCACGTGAAAGAATCCAAAGTCCCTGTCGGGATTCGAACCCACAGCGGTGAGGGGCAAGTGGTTTGAAGTCAACGACCTTAACCACTCGGCCACGGATGCCCCTCTGATAAGTAAGTGTGTAAGTTATGAAGCTATTGGTACAAGAAGGAAAATCCAAAGTGCTGGATAAGGTTGACCTAGAACGGATGGACGGACAGACGATTTAATTACTAAATGCCCGTGGGCATTAAAATACAACATCCATGAAGTTACACTGAATATGAAATAAACCACAATTTTCATGGAGTTTCTTAAACTCCATTAAATTGAAGCTCATTGTTATTTTATTGAACACAATTATATATTTCATATATGTATATTCATATATTTCAAGTGCATTTAACTACTGTATTTTAGAGATATTCAAAGAACTAGTAATAGAAAAGCAATTTCAGCTACTCTAGCCTCGCAAAATTTACGATTTTCGAGCGTATGTTATGTGCTTTTCTCGTAGCTTTAGATTACGAATGGATTCATTAACATATTTCGAAACATTTTTAGGAAGTCTTGCACATAATCAGTTGCATCTTTGTGAAGTTTTCTGGTCGGTACGTCGTAATATGACATCATGCAAACGAATACAAAACATTGAAAATTATATAAAAGACTTTAAATTGTTGCTGTACATTTATGCCTATTTAAAATTATCTGCATCACCAATACATTGAGTAAGAGTACCGTACTTTACACATCTAATCTGTGGCTTTCCCTCTGCATTCTTTTCAATACAAACACTCTGGTCGGATTGTAAAGTCATGCTTTCGTATGGTTTTTTATCTGTTGGAGCGTCATACACACTTATTGTTACTTTGCCATGTTCTGTGGGAACGTTTCGTGTTTTTCCTGGTTCAACACGAAGTATGTTGTGCTCTCTTCCCATATGTTTTATTTCGACTTTTACCATACGGTTCAGTCCATTGGTTACATGTGTGTTGTGTTGTTGACGCATGGCTGAAACAGTTTAAACGTTTGTTGTACTATATATACTTTAAAGGCAAATGTTTAGGGGATTTTTATTTTTTGTTTGTCATTGAAAATCTCTCACAAATCCCGCTATTTTGTTTTGGAATATTTCAATATCAAATTGTTACAGTCGTTTAGAACCAAGACTACCCTTAAACGCTGAAACATATATGTAACCACATTTGCGCCCAATGAAATTTCCCTTTAATATAAATAAACATTATTTAATATTAAGACAATATTTATTCAAACTGCAATCATTCAATTTTATTGCAATTCAGTATTATAGACCAAAATTATTTAATATTTTTGAAATCGGCACAATCATTTTATTCAATGTTTTAATGTATGAGGTAAAATACCACTATCTATCCGAATTATACATAAACATTAATTTATATTAGGCGTGTATTCATAAATAGAATGTGACAAGTAGGCGAACATTCCTAAAACGGATACTTGTTGGATTTTTGCTTGTGTTTGTAATACCATACAATTCAAGAAATATTCGCAACTGTTCAAAATGAATGCAAGACATTTATCATATATGGTCCCCTAACCAAATATATTATTAAATCTTTATATTGTTGTAATCATGTTTTTTTCATCTCCTTTTCACTAACGAATTTGGCTAAACGTACGGAGTGCGAAATTGACATACACAAACTTTATAAATATGTCTATATTATATTAAGTGTTATCAAGTATTAATAAATATTAAGCTTTGTATAAACTATGTAATGGTTAAAATATCAAGATGTTTAGGCTTGATATTTTTGTTTTTATCAAGACAGTCTGCAGGGTCCTATTTCAAATACGACTTAATTACTTATATATCTCTTTGTTTATCTGACAAACGTTTTAAAAATACCGTAGTATCTTTTATAAAACGACCAGACTTTGACTTCTGTAAGTATCAAACTTTATACAAAAATCCAAAGAAAACTTTAACTTAGATCAAATCGCTGAAAGCAAAGGGTGTCACGTACTTAACGTAGGCCATAAGAAAGGGCATTCAGGTGTCATTTTTACAATTTAATAATTTGTATGTGTGTCTTGTCTATCTCTGCAGTAATATACATATAATTCAAACTCCACAAGTAAATTTCGATGTTCTTTGCTAGATAGATCTGAAATTCTATTATTTTCATTTTATTTATACATATGCTTGCATATTTATCCGCATTGAATGTTTTCTAATTATGTATATTTAACACTAAGCAATTTACTACTTTATTATTATCAATATTTTATTCATTTTGCGGATCATGCTCTAGCAGATATATTGATAAATTTCTATATTATTGGAAAGCCTACTTACTAGTGAAGGGTCAATTGATCTCTGTTTAAATGCTATCTATATATTGTAACTCCCCGGCGGAAATGAGTTTGAGAGCGGGATAAGAGTGAACAAACAAAATATAGATAAACAAGAGAGCCATGATGGCTCTTATATCGCTCACCTTATTATGAAGGCCCTAGTACAGTATCCCCTAGAGTGTTAACGAGGTTTTTTAGCTCGACTTTTTTAAAGAAAAAAAAAGATAGAGGCATTGTACCGTCCGCAAACTTGTACCTTGATCATAACTTTTTAAGTTAGTGAGGTGTTGTCTTCATACTTCACCACAACAACCATTGGGTTAAGACCTTTTAAGTTGACCAGACATACCTTGACATTTATCCACAAATAACCTTGACCTTCAACGTCAAATTTTCAATTTCAAACATAATAAAATTTTAGGATAGCCCTTCAAGTTAACTAGACAAACATTGACCTTCACGCATAAATGACGTTGACTTTGAAGGTCAAAGTATTGAAATTTTCATTTTTTTGCTGTAACTGGCTGTTGCTATATTATTTTCGAATGGATTGACATTTTTTATAAGACCTTCATAAATATCAAACTTAAATTGACGTTGGTCTTTGAATGATCTTGGCCTTGAAGGTTAAATTATTGAATTTTCACTGATCTTTGCATTAATTGGCTATATATTTTTTCATCTGTATTTTTATATATTACAGAAGAAAACAAAAATATATATGGTCAAAGTTTTTTCATTTTAAGTGTGTATCGCTATAATTGGCTGTTACTTTGTAGTTAATCAGTTTCAGTTTTTAGTTTTTATTAAAACAAGGCATATACTATGCTATGGAGCAGAATTTGGGTATTTATTCATTTGACTACTTGTTATTTTCATTTGCTTAAGTTTAAATCATATTCCTACAAATTTGATTCATCTGTGAGTAAATCAAAGTTCTTTACTTAAAGACATTTTCTACAGTTTTATGAAAAATTAATCCTTTCATAGAAATTTCTAAATTTTTTGTATGGTGAGTAAAATTTAATGACAAATTTAAAAAGAAAAAGAAAAAAAATATGTTGACGTGTTTGATTTCTTGTAAAATGGCAGTTTCCATGGTAACCGTATATCTAAAAACTGTCAAAATAGCCTAACTGTGTTATAACGAATAGAAAATGTATAAGATAGCTTAAACACACAACGAGCATTGTTTTATGCAAAGATAATCTTATCTAATGATTCTGTATGAAACAAACGATAATCTGAACATATTTCTTTAAAAAATGAGTTCAACATGTTCCTCAACCGAACAAAAAATGAGAAAAATAAACATGAATTCTGAGAATAATTAGAGATATTGAAAAAAGTGTTTCATAGGATTTTCTAATTTTTTTGTATGTTGTGTAAAATTTAATGACAAATTCAAAAAGAAAAAGAAAAATATATGTTGGCGTGTTGGATTTTTTGAAAAATGGCAGTTTCCATGGTAACCGTATATCTCAAAATTGTCAAAATAGCCAAACTATGTTATAATAATGTATAAAATAGCTTATTACACTCACAATAAACATAATTTTATACAAAGCTTGCTTTATCTTAGGGTTCTGTATAAAACAAACAATAATTGTAACATACTTCTTTAAAAAATAAGTTGTCATGCTTTTTAACTAAACAAAAAAATAGAAAAATAAACATGAACTCTGTAAAAAATTAAAGGTATCAAGAAATTTCTTTCATAGAATTTTCTACATTATTGATATATCAAGTAACATTTGATGGTGGATTCAAAAATAGAAATAAAATATATATGTTGACGTGTTAGTTTTTTGTAAACGGGCAGTTTCCATGGTTACCGCATATGCCAACTGTCAAAATTACCACGCTTTCTTAAGAAATATCAGTGTTATACTAAATGTATTGTCAAATATACAACAAAAACATGTTGTAATAAAAATTTCTTTTTCTTTTGATGTTATATTAAGTAAATGATACTGAATATCTTTTTAAAACATATCTAGGGCCATATTATTTTTTTCACTCGACTAACATACCCGAACAGTAAGCAAGTATTCAGAAATTTACAAAGAAAATAATGAAATTCGGAACATTTCTTAGATATTAATTTTGTTTTTTTATTCAACACTTTTAAAATATATCATTTTAAACTTCTTTGCCCAGTTGTCTGCCAGTAATCAAGTCGCGACGCACTTTCGTCACTATAACACAAGTGGGTGGGATAACGCGCGCCGAATCATCATCAATGCTGTCGTACTAATGCTTGGAGAAATCCTTTATGTGATGTTGTCTAAACGACCTCTTATTCTTTTGAACCGATCTCCTTTTGAACATTTAGAAATACATGTACCTATTCTGTATTATTTACTCATTATTTGCTTATAGCCGAAATTTAAACACTTATCCGAATACTATTAAACTTGACCTTCATTTGAAGAGTAATTATCCGTGATTATCTTTCTTGGAAGCGCATAACGATGCGCACAGAAAACTACCGAAAACGTCTTTAAATATTTATTCATTCTTTCTTACTATGTTTATAGTAAGTTGTAATATTCTAAAGCCAATGCCAGTACTTCATCTCTTTTTTGGCTTGCAGCCACGGCTGCAAGCCATTTCATTTGGAAAACTTGTTCCGGTGAGGTTGTTTTCTGCTTCCATTTGTAAGTGCATGATTGAACGGGAAACCAGCTGAAATCGTGCCAATCGCAACTTTTCGGCCTTTTCCGTCACTCTTCGGATTAATGATAATAGCCGATGTACTTCCGATTGCAATCGTGACAATTCGGGCGATTCCGTCATACTGCGGAATCAGACGAAGTAATATTACGGAAATCTAAGCTATTTTAGTTACTTCGGTAATCCCAGTTTGTTTTATAAAATAGGATGATTTATTGATTTAAACCGTAATAAATTATAAACGAAATTGTTCCATTCAATTCTTTTTCAAGACGCAAAAGTTAGTTTCTTTTATAATTGTTTTTTGTCTGTATTAGTTTTATACAATAGAGTTGTTGACTGTAGTAGTATTCCGTCTTCTAAGGGTGGTCCAAATCACACAGAATATTAGCGCATGATCGAGTTATATTTAGATCTACTGAACTTGGTGAGGTAATCTAAAAATAGCCCATGCATATCATTAACCTTACCACGTGATGATTTATAGATAGCGCATCGTATCTGTGAACATGCCTTATTAATTGGTACCACGTAACGAAGTATTTTAGCGCATTTACTTGTCTATAAAGCTGCTATATACTGCCAAAACGAATGATTTCTCTGCGAAAAAAGTGGAAATGAAATGTGCACACTTGTTTCCTTTCAGTATGATAGATAGATCTCCACGTTAGTATTTTTACGATTGATTATTCTCTTTATTAGTGAATAGATTTCAAATCGTTTTGACAAAAATAGACCTATTCGTTTTTACAAAAATAAAAACAACTAAATATGTTGGGATGAAGGCACAACTGTGCAAGCCTTTCCTTTTAAAAGGAAACTTTATTTTTGTTTCAATTTATTATCACATTTTTTTTTTTTTTTGAATTACGGTATTTGTACATCATAAAGGGTTTATTTAGTTCTCTTATCTCTATTGTATAAAACTAATAAAGAAAATGATCAATCGTAAAAATACTAACGTGATAATGAAGTCTGAAGGAAAACAAGTG